TACTGTTTTTCAAAACCCTGGCTTCTATCTCACAAAAGGCTGTATTTTGAAAAGGAGCAGAAGTATCAAAGTGTCATATGAGTACAGGCCAACAAGCAGCTTTCAAGCACTGAACTTAAAATTTTCAGAAATGAGGAGTTGCTGTGAGGTTTAGGAATGACTCACACAGTAATTACCAATTATATATTAGAGACCTACCTTTTAATCTAAAGCACTGATCAGTTGAAACAGCAGGTGAAGCCTGTAATTGTTTGTCACTGTAACAAAGGGATATAATTATTAATAAAGGAATCATAATAGACAGTAGAGCTTTAGGAATTCCTGATACAAAACACAATGTTGGCAGCTTTTCAGAACCAATGCAGGAATGTCAATGAAGTATTCTCTCTGTTGTCTTTGAAGGAAAGCAAGATATTCCATTGTTGGCTATTTTTCAACATTAATAAGATATTAGGAAGAAACTATGGATAACCACAAGATCAGTGATTGATACGCTTCTGGTCGCTTCTGGAGTGAGAGAATCAGTCATCTACGAAGACGTTGCACAGGGGACACCTGGATGTCTTGCAATCCTGCGGGGAGGCTGCTCTCATGTTGTCCCCCCATAGAAGCCACATAGAAGATAGCTTTGAAAGGCAGCAGATCACAGGAGCTGTCTTCATAGACCTGTCAGCGGCTTATGATACTGTAAACCACCGCCTCCTCCTGAGAAAAATGTATAATGTCACAAAGGACTACCACCTCACCCGCCTCATAGGAAACCTGCTACAAAACAGGAGCTTTTTTGTTGAGTTCCAAGGCCAAAGTAGCAGATGGCGGAAACAGAAGAGTGGCCTGCCTCAGGGGAGCATGCTTGCTCCATCAATATTCAACATTTACACAAATTACCAGCCACTGCAAGAAGGGACAGAGAGTTTCATCTATGCTGATGATCATGCCATTATTGCTCAAGCAGGGAGCTTTGAGATGGTTGAACAGAAGCTCTCCGAAGCTCTAGATCAGGGGTCCACAAACTTTTTAAACAGAGGGCCAGGTCACAGTTCCTCAAACTGTTGGAGGGCCAGATTATAATTTGAAGAAAAAAACATGAATGAATTCCTATGCATACCACATATCTTATTTGTAGTGCAAAAATCACTTTAAAACAATACAATAATTAAACTGAAGAACAATTTTAACAAATATAAACGTATTAGTATCTCAATGGGAAGTGTGGGCCTGCTTTTGGCTCATGAGATAGGATTGTTGTCGTTGTTGTTGTGTGCTTTCAAGTCGTTTCAGACTTAGGTTGACCTTGAGCGAGGGTCGGGTAAATGATCTTGGAGGGCCGCATCCAGCCCCCGGGCCTTAGTTTGAGGACCACTGCTCTAGATGCTCTTACTGCCTATTATAATCCCCGGGGCATCGCTAGACATTCCTGTGCTCAAGTAGCCCACTGCCAGGTCAGGGAGAGGTGATGATCTCCTGTGCTCATCAGGATACATTTTGTACACTTTATAGAAAATAGACAGAGAGGCAAGGATATAAAATAGACAGAAAGAAATCAATATACATTTTATTAAAGGAAACATGTCTAATGGGTCAGGAGTGGTTGTGGGTTGCCTGCAGGCATTCTTCTGGATCAAAACAGCAATATAGCAGCAAAGATGCTATATTCATATTAATGTCCTCTTGCCCTTGAGAAAACTAGAAATCACGCTGGAGGGGGGTGCCGTGTCCAACAACATTAACACCGCTGTTTTTCGTCTCCGATGTCCTACCACAGAAATTACAGCCTGTGTATGTGTGAAAGGGTATGATTTACTCTGTTGAATGGTAACGATGTGTGACAGGTATTTGGTTGGCAGGCCTTTTGCCAGTCCAAACCTGGTAGAAAATTCTTGAGATCACAATGTCTTAAAATTGTTACTTTGAAGGCCTAGTTGTATGTGAATTGTGCAATAATATATTATTCTGGGGCACTAAAATATCCTATCTGCTAGGGGTTATGTCTACCTTCATATCTAAATGACTATAGGATGATATTATTGTACGTTTGTACCTTTCCTTGGAGTTGTGACGAGATTGAATGAAGAAGCTACTGTATCAGTGCAGGACCGCCCCAAAGAATACCCTAAAGAAAACCTAATAAAACTCAAAAGATTAATCTTGACTTTGAACTGTATTCACATCTACTATTTCTCCCACAGTAATTTCATCTGATTTATTCTGTTTCATCAACTCAATGTAATTTCTTTAAGATGTAATTACTTTTTCTTCCTGCTGGTTTTCCCCATGTTGGACTTCACACTGAGATTTAATGTTCCATATAATATTCTTTGAGTCAAATGGACTACATGTTAAGACTCGTGTGCTGAAGATCACAGCTCTGTTGACAACACTTTTGAGGAGACAGATATAGCTATCTCAGATCCAGGAACTGTCTGTACTTTCCTTGTTGGGTGTGAGATTATCAGTGTCTGAGAAAGAGATCTATGCTTGGTTAGTAAAATAGAGGTTAAGGTTCCCCCTTGACATTAAGCCTCGTTGTGTCCAACTCTGGGGAGTGGTGCTCATCTCCATTTCTGAAGAGCCAGCATTGTCCATAGACACCTCCAAAATCATGTGGTCAGCATGACTGCATGGAGTGTCATTACCATCCCACCGAACCTGTTGATCTACTCACATTTGCATGTTTTTGAACTGCTACATTGGCAGAAGCTAGGCCTAACAGCAGGAGTTCACCCCTGCTCCCCAGGTTTGAACCATCAACCTTTTGGTCAGCAAGTTCAGTAGCTCAGTGGTTTAACCTGCTGTGCAACCAGGTAGCATTATAGTAATAAATCAGAGAATAATAGGGTTGGAAGAGACCACTTACTTACTTAGGCAATCCCTCATAGTCCAAGGATGATAGTCCTCCAAGGTTGGTGTTCTGATGGTGGGTCCGTAGGTGACTGTGGAGCCCTATTCTTGATCTACATCTTCTCCCACAGTAAGGGCATTGGTTTCCAGGTGGAAGGCGGTCCCGGTCGGGGACCTCTTGTCACATTTCTCTCTTTCACTCTCCATTCATGCCTCTTCAAATTCTACAGCACTGCTGGTCGTATGCTTCTGCGAAGGTGTTTAGAGTGGCTTGTAGGTCTTCTTCTGAATGCGCACAGACAACATTGTCATCACCATACTGGAGTTCTATAATAGATGTTGTTGTAACCTTGGTTTGGGCCACCCAGTCCAACCCCATCCTGCTATGCAGGAAAAGCACAATCAAAACACCCCTACAGATGTCCATCCAGCCTCTGTTTAAAAGCCTCCAAGGAAGGAGCTTCCACCACACTCTTAATGTTCAGGTTGAATAACCTTTCCTGTGATTTAGTGCCTGGGGCTGTTAGGAATTGTGGGAGTTGAAGTCCAAAACACCAGGAGGACCGAAGTTTGCCCATTTCTGATCTAGCAGCATTTTCTCCTGGCGTTTCACTTGCACCTGTGGCTGGCACCTTCAGAGGACAATTATTATGATTGCTATTATTATTATTATTATTATTATTATTATTATTATTATTATTATTTAAAACACAACAAGATGAGTCCACCGCAGACACTGTGCTGGCTGTTGTATTGGATCATACGTTGGACACTTCCCAAGTCTTTAGGCACTGCACCCAATGTGTAGATCACCACTGGGGCTACCTTTACTGGCTTGTGTCAGAGTCTTTGCAGTTCGATCTTTAAATCCTCATATTGTGCCAGCTTTTCCAGTTATTTCTTTTCAATCCTGCTGTCACATGGGATTGCAACATCGATGATCCATACTTTGTTTTTTAACATGATCATGAGGTCAGGAGTATTGTGCTCCAAAACTCTTGTCAGTTTGAATTCGGAAGTCCCAAAGGAGTTTGACGTGTTCATTCTCTGTAACTTTTTCCGGCTTGTGATCCCACCAGTTCTTTGTTGCAGGCAGATTGTATTTGTGGCACAAGTTCCAGTGAATCATCCGAGCAATGGTGTTATGCCTCTGCTTGTAGTCTGTCGGCACGATCTTCTTGCTGCAGCTGAGGATGTGATCTTTTGTTTCATCTGCTTCCTTGCAGAGTCTACATTTGAGATCTTATTATTATTATTATTTGAAACACAAGATGAGTTCCATAGCAGACACTCTGCTGGTTGTTGTATTGGATCACACGTCGGACACTTCCCAAGTGTTTAGGACTGTGTGATGTATCGGCGAATAATGTGTGCAGATCCAAGTAAAGTGGCCTTCTGCAGCTGGCAGCTGGTAATTTTGTCAGTGCCAATTTGTTTAAGTGCAGGCCAAGGTCTTTAGGCGCTGCACCCAGTGTGCGGATCACCACTGGGACCACCTTTACTGGCTTGCGCCAGAGTCATCATCAGTATTATTATTACTATTACTATTGTTACTATTATTCCTGTAAGGTGGCCTTCTGCAAATGTCAGATGGTAATTTTGTCAGCGCCGATTGTCTTTAAGTGCAGGCCAAGGTCTTTAGGCGCTGCACCCAGTGTGCGGATCACCACTGGGACCACCTTTACTGGCTTGCGCCAGAGTCATTATTATTATTACTATTACTATTGTTACTATTATTCCTGTAAGGTGGCCTTCTGCAGTTGCCAGATGGTAATTTTGTCAGCGCTGATTGTGTTTAAGTGCAGGCCAAGGTCTTTAGGTGCTGCACCCAGTGTGTGGATCACCACTGGGCCCATCTTTACTGGCTTGTGCCAGAGTCATTATTATTATTATTATTATTATTATTATTATTAATATTATTATTATTACTACGATTATTCCTGGTGGTTTGCCTCAATCAAGAAAACCCTGGCTTTGAGTCTGCAAGACCTGAGCAGGGCTGCTGATCATGGGAGAGCACATTTGAGGAAGGATAGTGGTTTGGAGACAAGAGAGGGCTGTGGGATTCTGGAGGTTGTAGTGTGAGAAGAGCCCTGGCCCCCCTCGCTCCCCCCTCCCTCCCCGTAGGCCTCCTCCTCCTCCTCCTCCTCCTCTTCCTCTTCCGGGGGGCGGGGCCAGCGGCGGCCAAGATGGCGACCCCCATGCATCGCCTCATCGCTCGGCGGCAAGCGTGAGTGGGCGAGGGGCGAGGGGGCGAGGGCGGGAGCGCGGAGCCACCTGTCCTGGGTCCGCCTTGCCTTCTTTGGTAGTTGTCGTGGCTTCGAGGGGCTTCTGTTTCTGTAAAGAGCAGAGGCTGAGGTTTCCTATGGTATATCTGCGAGGCCCCCCTTTCCCCCTCTTCTCCTCCTCCTCCTCACAGAGAAGGGGCTTCTACTCAGGCAAGGGCAAACCGGCTGCTAGGAGTTGTGGGAGCTGAAGTCCAAAACACCTGCCATGCCTGATCTACACTGTGGAACAGACATTCACAAACTTAGGCCCTCCCTCCAAGGATCTTGGATTTCAACTCTCACCATTCCTAACAGCCTCAGGACCCTTCCTTTTCCATATATCCCAGTTCAAAGCTAAAAATGTGGGATTTTATTCAGCTGTGTGGAAGGGGCCTCCATCCTGAGCCTCTTCAAACTACAAATATCGGAATTCCTCAGCCTTGGCTGAGGAATTCCGGGATTTGTAGTTTGAAGAAGCTCAGGACGGAGACCCCTTCCACACAGCTGAATAAAATCCCACATTTTTAGCTTTGAACTGGGATATATGGCAGTGTGGACTCAGATAACCCAGTTCAAAGCAGACATTGTGGAACTTTCTGCCTTGATATTTAGGGTTATATGGCTGTGTGGAAGGGCCTGGAATCATAGAGTGATTCCCTTGCACTCGGCCAAGGCAGTTCAAGGGGGTCAAGGGGTGTTCGGGACATAGGGTTGAGGCACCTTTAAGCAGGGGCCGAAAACCAACAGGGTTTGGGCAAAAGTATGATAGCTGGGACCTAATACTGGTTGCGCAACGCGGGTCAGGGAGCCCCTGGTGACGCAGTGGGTTAAACCCCTGTGCCGGCAGGACTGAAGGCCGACAGGTCGCAGTTCGAATCTGGAGAGAGGCAGATGAGCTCCCTCTATCAGCTCCAGCTCCTCATGCGGGGACATGAGAGAAGCCTCCCACAAGGATGATAAAACATCAAATCATCCGGGCATCCCCTGGGCAGCTTCCTTGCAGACGGCCAATTCTCTCACACCAGAAGCGACTTGCAGTTTCTCAGGTTGCTCCTGACACAACAAAAAACAACAACAACAACAAAACGTGGGTCAGAATTAGAGAAGCGAAGATGTGCGGGAGACAGCGTTAATTTTATAGCACGCTTCATCCACATGTAATTAAGTTAAGTTTGAGTGATAGTGAAGGATGGTAAAGTTAGCAATAGTTAAGTTTATAGCACACACCAGCGTCTCTCACTTGCTGTGCAAGTGTAATTCTGACCCGCATTGCGCAACCAGCATTGGATCCCAGCTATCATACTTTTGCTTATGTGCCTGAGGGGGAAAAGGAAAGGGCCTGAGGCTTTCAGGAATGGTGGGAGTTTAAGTCCAAAACCCCTGGAGGGAGGGCCCAAGTTTGCCCATGCCTGCTGTAGAATGAATTCAGTTTGACCCCATTTCAAATGCCATGGTTCCATGTCATGGAATTATAGGAGCTGTAGTTTAACAACAACAACAACTACTACTACTACTACTTTATTTTTAACCCGCCCCCTCTCTCCAAAGTGACTTAAGGTGGCTTCCAAAAACAAAGATGGCAAACATTCAATGCCATGGGCAATTACAACATAAAACAGAAACAAAACAAACAATTAAAACCAGTTAAAAATAAGCAAACAAAACAACCTTGATTAAAACATAAAACCAACCGGCATCATAAACAACAGAGTAGGCAGTTAAAATCTGTATAAAAATATGAGAATATGGCTCTCCAATAAGTTAAGGTAATGTAACCACCGTCAGCATCATCAGGCGGGCTAGAATGAATAATAAACTAATTATCTTCCTCTCTATAAGCTAATGTGCATTCTGGCCTGTATGGCCATGTTCCAGAAGCATTCTCTCATATCTCTGTGTGTCTTGGAACAGTTTCTCCCAGTAGAGATGTTCAATATGTTGTCTAAGGCTTTTAATTGTTTCTTAAAGGAGAGGAGTAAAGTTTTTAATTGTTTCTTAAAGTGAGAAGTGAAGAGGCTGTTCTGATTTCCATTGGGAGGGAGTTCCAGAGGGAAGGGGCTGAGAAAGCCCCCCCTCTCGTTCCCACCAGCTGCACTTGAGATGGGGGTGAGACTGAGAGGAGGGTCCCCTCCGATGATCACAGTGTCTGAGCAGGTTTGTAAACAGGGATGCGGTTTGTCAAGTAGTCTGAGCCCAAATGGTTTAGGACAGTGGTTCTCAACCTGTGGTTTCCTAGATGTTTTGGCCTTCAACTCCTAGAAATACTAACAACTGGTAAATAGGCTGGGATTTTTGGGAGTTCTAGGCCAAAACACCTAGGTACCCACAGGTTGAGAACCACTGGTTCAGGGCTTTGTAGGTTGTATTTAGCCCAGAAGTGAACCGGTAGCCAGTGGAGCTGCCATAACATGGGAGTTGTCCGTTCCCTGGGCGGTGCTCTGGTTAGTAATCAGGCTGCCGATCTCTGAACCAGTTGAAGCTTCCGAACTATCTTTAAAGGCAGCCCCACATAGAGAGCATTGCAGTAGTCCAAACGATATGCAACTAAAGCGTGGACAACCGTAGCCAGATCTGGTGCCACACTGGATGAAGTCTTCACCCTGGGATAGTGACTTCTTTGCTTTTGAGTGGCTCATTGTACACAAAATCATATACCTATGAGTGCATCTTTTTCAAATCCTCTTACAAAAAGATAGTAACACCCACATAGGTGGCTAAGATATTGACACTGGCCTTTTGGCGTTTCGGTATAGACATATGCAACATTATTGAAAATATTGGATAAAAACACCATCGGGTTATGTGTAAAAAATGTATATGTAGATAATGAGACATCTAAGAGATGAGACACAAATGTGTAGAATTGTGCTTCATCTCTTAGATGTCTCATTATCTATGTATATACAAATATACGTATTCCAAATTCCAAAACATGTCTAGTCCCAAGCGTTTCAGATAATGTATACTCAACCTATAAGAAGTGTGGAAGTGCTATAGGCAGTTCAAGCCAAGGTATTGGGGATCACAGTCTCAAAGCAGACTGCTTGTTGTTGTTGTTGTTGTTGTTGTTGTTGTTGTTGTTATTGTTGTTGTTGGCCTTCAAGCCATTTCCATCTTATGGTGATCCCAAGAACATCTTATCATGGGGGTTTCTGAGACTGAGAGTGTGTCACCTAGTGGATTTCCATGGTCAAGTGGAGAAACAACCCTGGTCTCCAGAGTTATATGCTGATGCTCAAACACTATGGCTAGCTGCTTGGGATTAACTTTTAGATGAATTAGGATATAAAAACTACATCAACATACAAACAGTGTGTTTGTTATGATTGGGATAGTGACATGAGCTATTCTCTTCTCAGGGTTTAAAGGAAATTTCTATTTATTTATCTAAATTCTGCTTTCTTCCAAGATGAAACCCGAGATTGCTTACAGCTGCAGGAAAGACATACCTGATTATATGTGTAGAATATGAATGTATACAAATGTTTGTTGGCATTATTGCCAAGGTGTGAAGTGACATAAAGAGAGTTCATGACACATCGTTGATTTCAAAAATATCCTGCCTCATTTCCATTTATATTGTACTCTCTTAGGTATAGAGTGATGCCCAGGTTAGGGATTTTGTAAAGCTAAACATTAGAAGCCATCATTGTTTGGTTTTGGAGTCTATGAATGATCCCATTAGAAATTAGAAGACAGGATAGCTTGGAAAAGATAATGATGCTGGGGAAAATGGAAGGAAAAGGGAAGAGGGGCCGACTAGTGGCAAGAAGGATGGATGTTAGCCTTGAAGTGACTGGTTTGACCTTGAAGGAGCTGGGAGGTCGGGATGGCTGACTGAGCTCTGGCGTGGGCTAGTCCATGAGGTCATGAAGAGTCAGAAATGATTGAACAAATAAACACCCATTAGAAAATCTATTAGATTGTGGGTAAACTACAATTTCTATCAACCTCTGTCATTGCTCCCAAATGCCACCAGTATTTAAAGTTGGTCATGGTGGGTACATCGGTTGGGTTCAGAGTGTTCTCTGGATTTGGGTGAACCATAACTCCCAGCATCCCAGCCCAATTCCCTCCAAACCCCACCAGTATTCAAAGTAGAGCACATTGGATATTCTTGCTATGTTAGGTCCAGATCCATTGTTTGATTGGGTTCAGAATGTTCTCTGGATATGAGTGAACTATAACTCCTGAAATCCAGGGTCAAACCCCCTCCCTCAACCTGCCACTATTTTCTGCTGGTCAGGGTGGGGTGGTGGGGTTGTCTGTGTGTCATGTTTGGTTCAGATCCATCATCAGTGGGGAGTCAAAGGGCTCTGGAAGTGGGAGGCATCTCAGAAGTCGCACACATACATACACATTTTCACTTTTATGTGACAAGGGGAGAGAGAGAAGTTATCATCACATCATTTTGTTTATTTTAAAAAATACTTATAGAGACGTATTATGTGTTCATTTAGATGTGTAGTCATACCTTTTCACAAGACTTCATGCAGGATAAGTTTGTTTGCTGTTCTAAACTCAAATAAAGCAGGAAGCACATTAAAGGTGGATCTAGACTTCCATATAAGTAGTTTCAGAATGCAGATTAACTGCATTGAACTAAACTATATAGCGGTGTAGACTTAAATAATCCAGTTCAGCGTATTTAATCTGAATTCTGAAACTGTATTATATGGCAGTGTAGAGCCAACCAAAAAGCGCAATCATAAATCCAAGATGGGGTTGTAGCGCTTTGGATGGAGAGTTGTTCTTGGGCCCCTTCTTGGAACTGATTGCTGTTAATAGTAAAGAGAAAAGCAGTATTATTGGCATTCCACATTTGTGATTTTGACTTTTGTGATTTTTATTATTCATAGATTTGATTAATATGTTCTCTTCTAGAGTGCATAGGATGACTCTATAGGCAATTCTTGCAGAAGTTGATCATAAAGTCATCCTGCAGAAACTAGAGCTTCTAAGA